TTACAGTGCTGTCAGTCAGACTCCCAGTGCACAGCAGTCTGATCCACTCCAGGTGTTACAGTGCTGTCAGTCAGACTCCCAGTGCGCAGCAGTCTGGATGGTCAGGGAGTCTGACAGCAGCAGCACAGAGCAAAGACACTGGGACTGGGGCACGAGCAAGAGACTGCCACAAGGGGGCAGGACCAAAGAAGACATGTCTGGGCCTGGGACCGGGACCGTACTGGGACAGGGAGTAAGGGTGGAGGCACTGGCAGCAGGGGGCAGCAGGACACTTTTTAACTCACCCGCTGGTGCTCCTCTCAGCCAAGCTCCTCCCTTCATTGAGCCCTTAATTAATCTAACGAGCTGCCTGACTGGCACCCTTACAGGTGCATTCCCTCTTCAGAGGGCGGGAGAGCTGGGGTCACTCGTGGAGTTCAGCAGACGAAGGGCACCTCCAGCGTGCTGAGGACCTGAACACAGCGAGAGAGTTCAGGTGCATCAGGGTGGGGAACCGGGAGCTCTGGGCCAAGAGGACCAGTAGGTGGGGGGTGGGGACCCCAGTATGGAGCGGGGGTCCACTGAACCGGACCACAGCCTCAGTGTCTGGCCCTCATGCGAGTGGACAGGGATGGCCGACGCCAGTTCGTCCGGAGCCACCAGAACCGGCACCCAACGGTCTGCACTGGCCTGTCCCGCCAGGTCACCTTGGAAAAAGAGCTGGGGGCCCATGAGGGCAGCGGGTGCGAACCTTTACTCATCTCATGGCGCAGGTGCTAACGACCTGGCCGAGAGATCTGATCTTAACACTCTCCTCCTGGCCCACAGCTCCCGGGACACACAGCTCTGGGAGAAGAGTGCCATCTGCTGGCTGGCTGTGGTACTGCAGTCCAACAGGAAACACCAGTCTGCCTGTAGGGCTGGGGGTACCGACAGCTCAGCCCAATTCTGCCCAATGTCCTGAAAGTGGACGATTCCTTGACTTAGTCTAAGGAGCTACACTATCTGCTTCCACCATCACCACCAGCTTTCGTCTTTTGGGAACTCTTGACAACTGCGGTTGTCTGCATGGACTGCGTGCCAGCGTCTGGCTCCCTGTGAAGCGAGGAGGGAGGGGGACAGGTTTGAGGGACGGCCCGGGTCCGTCAGTGAAATACTTCCCCTGCTCACTTCCTCTCACTTTAGTTTACAGCATGGCTCTGAGAGAATAAACAGTGTGTATGAAAATGGCTGCACGCATAATGCTTAGCTCCCTTGAGGCAATAAATTTAACAAATCCAAAAAACAAGCAATTCTTTAAACGGATCACAAACGGAATAATTATATATATAAATGGAAATGATGTTAACCAACTGGAACAAGAGAGACAGGGTGTTAAGAGTGACAGACGCCCCCTTCCCTCCCCTGCTGTTCTGGATATCCTCCGGGATTCCACTCGCACCCCAGCGACCGGGAAAACGGGCAGAGGTGGAATCCTGTGTGATCCCGGCTCTTGGTGTTCCTAAAGGAGGAAGGAAAGTGACGGGAGTGCTTCAGACTCCTGGGAATGCGTCTCTTCTATTCCCAGAGAGTAGGCCATTCCGAATGCTTGTGACCTGATTCCCAGAGACCAGGCACTTCCGAATGGATTCCTGGAGATCAGTGGCGTCCGAATGCCCATGGCCGATTCCCAGAGAGCAGGAGTTTCTGAATGGATTCCCGGAGAGCAGG